TAAAACAAATTTGGATATAAGAAATTTTTCCCATTATCCTAGAAAATATAAATAGTTCTATTTATTGAGAAGAATACTAATTTTCTGTTTTTATTTTTCTTACCATCTTAGAGATTTTTCTGTGTATAATTGTAATAGAAAAAGGAAATATTTTTTATAATGAGAGCTTGTACCAATCATCCTTAAGAAAAAATTCAAAATATTTGTATAGCTAACCATTAATGCAAAAGATTTTTATGTTAAAAATGCTAAAACAGCCATGGAGTAGGAGATTTAGATAAATTAAACATAGAGGACTTTAATAAAATAATCCAAAATCAATTTGAGTTATTCTAATAGAAATCTAAATCACTCCAAATAGAACGACAAAAAAATGAATTTAAAGAATTTATAAAAGAAGCCAAGAATAAATTTGAAAGATTAGATTAAGAGATGTCCAAATAATTTGAGATGATAGACAAAGAAGAACAGTATTATTTTGAACTTATAACATCTCACTCTCCTAAAGTAAATTACTCAGATTAGAATATAAATTCTTTAATTGAGATAATAAGAAAAAAATTAGAAAATTGGAATTTTTACAAAGATGGTTTTTTTCAATAATTAATGAGGATTAAAAATAACTTAGAAGAAACCTTATCTTAATGCTTAAATAATATAATTACATATAAGTAAAAATATGATATTATGTAAGTTCTTTGGATTGTAAAGGATTAAAAAGATTTTGTGCTTAATTGCAAGAAACTCAGTTTTAAGTTATATACACAAAAAATATGGAAATGGTTTACGTTTTAGATGGAGAAATCCTTAGATGGTAATGAAAATATATATTTTTTGAAGCGATTCAATAGAAGATTATAACAATAAACCTTAGATAATGAAAAATTTATAATAGATTAAGCATCTAAAGTGGCATGGCTCATTTAATTTGGAGTATAAAAAGTAAGGAGTATGGTACCCAACTTGGAAAGGCCTTAAAATTGATGCTGGAGGGAGTTATTTAAATGGATTAAAGTAGGGAAATTGGAAAGAATTAGGTTAAAATTATTGGGAGTATTTTAATATTTTATCTTAGAAAAGCTGAAGTGTTTTAATAGGGGAACTATTAAAATAATTAGAAGAAAGGTGTTTGGTAAATCATTCGCAAAAATAAACAAACGTAATTATAGTCTAACAATTATTTAGTCATGAAAGTACTTATTCAGATCATGGAGTAAAGATTGGAAGAGGGTTTGACTTACATGATAATTATCATGAGTATTTATTTATACTTAGAATAGAGGAAATTAAGTCATTTTTAATGGAGAATACAAACAAGGGAAAAAAATAGGCAAATGGAATACTCTGTTAAAGGAAAAATTATTATGTAAGATTAATTCATAATTTATCAGGTAGTGGGGAGTACGATGAATAAGGAATAAAACGTGGTTAATGGGAAGAATTGCATAATAATTTTTTTGAGTAATAAATAATCAAATTTTAGATGTAATGATTTAATTGAGTCAGGATTATACTTAGGCTCATAAATTGGATAATTACCAATTTCACAGAAATCTGGATAATGGAATATAAAATTTGAAGGCAATGTTATGTTAAAAATTAATATAAATTTAAAGTGGTGGCGGATAATACCAAAATGGATTTAAGAATGGATTATGGACAGAAGTGCATGATTAATTTTCTCAGTATTGAATTATTATATTTATAGATAAAACTAAATTTTTTACTAGGGGGCGTATAAAAATGGAAAAAAAGTTGAAGATTGGAAAATACTATATAAAAGAGAAGAAGCGAGTAAAGCAGATTTAATGTAAGATATAAATATTATTAGAAGTGGTGGAGGCAAATATGATGAAAATCAGTTAAAAACTGGTAATTGGAAAGAATTGCATGAGAATTTTCATATGTAATCGTGATAAACATATTTCAGTTATGGATAGATTATATATTAGGGTGTTTATAGTAAAGGGAAGAAGCAGTAAAAATGGGTTATTTAGTATCGTTCCCAAAGCGAATAAAATATCATAGAAATGTATATTATTTAAAAAGAAACTTAGAGGCGGAGGATTATATGACTCGGAAGGACGGAAGGATAACCTTTGGGTAGAATTACATTAAAATTTCTCAGGGTATTTGATATTAAAATTAAAAATAGGCAAAGAGAGGTTTTATTGAAGGGGAAATACAAAAATGGAAAAAAGTATGATAAATGGGAAATTTTATAGATGATGGATAATAAAGACAGAATATAAGGAATATGTAATGAAAAGTACATTCTAATATTTTAGAGGAGGAGGATGTTAACGATGAAAATTAGTTGAAACATGGCAAATGGACTGATTTGTATGAAAACTTCAATAAGTAATAATCGTGAATTAAGTAGTGATGCTCAAGTAAGATATAAAGGGGAGTATAAAAATGGTAAGAAACAAGGTGCATGGAAAATTGACCTTAGAGAAACAAAGGTAGCAAAAATTGAAATGACAATGTAAATGAATTTTAATTTTGACTTAGTGGAAATGGAGATTATGATGAAAATGGTAGAAAGACTGGTGAATGGGTAGAATTAGTAGATGATTATGATAAGTATATCAGATATTCTATTTTGAAGATGGAAACAAATCATTTATAAAGGAGTATATGTTGAAGGTGTGAAGGTAGGAGATTGGAATTAGTGGATAAGGATAGGTAATAATGGCAACTTTATACCGTATCTAGAAGATGGACTTAAGTTGTGAAATCAATAACAAATAAAAAATTTGATCGATTATTATGGAGTTGATATTTCTGTATTGGCCCAAAACAAGTTGATTTCTCTATAGTATTTATAATATCTTCCAAGATATCCATTCTTTTTGTTGATGTTATATTCGTACTCCAATAAGTTAGTCACTTTTTGTTCTTTTTAGTTTCAAATTTCCTTTCTTCGTTTGTTCGTATAAATATATTTAGTAAAACAATATTAATATACAACTATTTTTATGAATACTTCCTTTCTCTTCCCTATTATCTTTTGTTATAGAATTATAAAATTATTGCCTAAATAAAAAAGTTTTTCCACAAAAATATGAGACACTGAATTGGGAATTGGTTAATTTTATCTAAAATTTTAGATTTAATATTTTACTTTTAATCAAATATATATTTGAAATTGATGTAGTTAGGTCGCTAAAATGCTAAATTCTTGAGATGAAATCTGATGAATTATATTTGTCAAATATACCTTAAAGCCTTTTTGATAGATAGTCAATTTAATGACTTTTATTAGTAAATAGTAAAACCGATAATAAAGATTCCTCAAG